TAAGTCGATGAACTTTTGATGTAAAATTTTCTAAGTGTTTGAAGTTCCGAAATTCGGTATAAAAACCGGCATAGGTTCCCCGTCTGTACACTTTTTGCGAAATTATTCTAAGTCCATGCAACACTTAACGTTTTATAAGTCTATTTCTTCATGCATTAATCACTTTGTATTTATTTTTAAACTTTACATTTAACAATGTCTCTAAACTCACTATTTTATAAGTCACAAGTTGATTATTTTTAATAGGTCAAATGTACTCACGGTTTGTCACTGCATATACTTCACTTTTTTTTTCCAAACACTGCTCGATCCACTATCCGCTTCCGCTTAAGCACGAACTGTTTTCTGTACTCGTATCTCCACCGCTCACAAGTTACCACTTACTCCACTAGAGGGCACCCAATTCTAATCGGTGGCTATGGGTAACAGCTGTGATGTCAACCTTTTTGTCAAATCCGGCTCGAAGGACCATGTACAATCTTCCAAAAAGTCCCAAGGGCCGTCAAGGTATTTGAAGTAAAACACACTTGCTCAGGACGAGATAAATTTAATAGAAAAGTTACACAATGTTATATCGTCTCGAAGAATCTTAATATTGCGATCTAAGTTTATGCAACAACGCCATCTATCGAGACGGATGTAAAACATAAACAATGACTAGTTAACACACATAAACGGCGAATCTAAAATATGCAATTCTGACTTGTGTGGCCGGACCTCCTGAGCACCTGATAGAGTTTTTGAATTTCTTAAAATGGACCAATTTATTGTTAAAATGATAAGGTTTTAAAAAAAAATAAGGACTCAAATAAAAAAAAATACAAATATTCAAACCATTTTTAATACAACTCAACATTACATTATTTATCGAAATATAAGGAGACAATTTATTAGATGTAGGATGTGTATTTCGGGGATACCAAATAGTTTCGATTCTGATGATGATGATTCTTTTTTAAAGGTGACGCTTCTTTTTGCTATGATTTCACTGAAATCATCTGTAATAAGTATCTAAGTTGTATTATAACTACCCCACAAGGGGAAGTTTCAACTTCTATTGCTTACGGACATAATAAAATAAAATAAAAATAAAAAAATAAAAAAGCCTTTTATTTCTTACTAAAAATACAGTTACAATTAATCTTAAAACTATTAAATACTACTACTACTACTACTATTATTTTATCTAATTTTATACAGTAATCTGTGCGCTAAGTAGTAAGAACCCCTCTTAATCGAAGGTGAAGGCCTCCTCTAGAGATTTCCAAGCGTCCCTGTCGGTTGCTGTGTCCATCCAACGATCGCCGGCCACTTGAGTTATGTCATCGGTCCACCGGGCAACTGGTCTGCCCCTCTTCCTAGAGCCTGCTGGTCCGACCCAAGACGTCAACCTCTTCGTCCATCTGCTATCTGTCAGCCGCGTTATGTGGCCGGCCCAGCGCCACTTTAATTTTTTGCAGTGACATAGAGCATCAACAACCTTAGTCTTTTTCCGAATAGTTTTATTTGGTACTTTTTGTATATTTTTCAAGTTTAATATGCTTCTTTCCATCCCGCTTTGGCATGACCTAATTTTGTTTTTAGCTTTTATAGTGAACTTCCAAGTTTGACTGCCGTAGGTTAGTGATGGGAGAATACAGGTATCCATGACTTTTTGTTTAATTCTAATTGGCATTTCACTTTTTAAAACTTCTTTCAGACTCCAAAATTTCTTCCATGTGTTTGCAATTCTTCTTTCTATTTCATGGTAATTTCTTTGCTTATCGAATGATATCTGTTTCCCCAGGTAAATATAAGTGTCGACATATTCTAACTTTTCATTTTCTAGGTATATTGGGTTCCTGCTGTTATTTGTCATGATATTTGTTTTATTGCGATTTATTTCTAGACCAACCTGTAGACTAGCTGTGTGGAGGGCGTTTATCATTGATTGTAGTTGTCTTGTACTTTCAGAAAATAGGACGATATCGTCTGCGAATCTTAAGTGACTTATATACTCATTGTTTATGTTTAAACCGACTCTTTCCCAGGCAAGCTTCTCGATCACGTATTGTAGTACCGCTATGAAAATTGTTGGGGAAATAGGATCGCCCTGTCTAACCCCTCTTTTGATGGGTATAGGGGGACCAGTCGAATCTAATCTAATTCTACTGTTGCAGTTTTGGTATAGATGTTGTAGAACCTTGAGATATTCAGTTTCAATATTTTGTGATTGTAGAGCTTCCCAAATAGAGTGATGATACAAAGTATCGAAAGCTTTTTGGTAGTCGATGAACGCTAGGTAGAGCGGTCTCTTGAACTCTTGGTATTTTTCTATAACCATTTCGATAGAGTGGATATGGTCCATGGTAGAAAATCCTCTCCGGAATCCGGCCTGTTCTATAGGTTGATGTTTTTCTATGGTACTTCTGATTCTTTTTTCTAAAATTGATGAGAATAATTTGTAAATGGATGGCAGCAGGCTTATAGGTCGGTAATTACTTATATTGTGCGGGTCTCCCTTCTTGTATAATAAGACAATGTCTGATTCAGCCCATTGTTTTGGTATAGTTACGGTTCTTATTACTAAGTTAAATAACTGTGTTAAAGGGCCTGCTAAGTGTTGACATGCAATTTTCAGGGTTTCGTTAGTTATTTTGTCTGGTCCCGGGCTCTTTTCTGACTTTAGTTTACTAATTGCTTTTAATACCTCCGCTTCTTCTATGTCTTGTATTTGTAGTGTTGTGTCTCTTAGTATAATTTGAGTGGTATCATGGTTTTCAAAGCAGTACAAATTTCTATAGAAATTAGTAGCAACTTGAATTATTTCTTTTCTATGACAAGTTCTTTTGTTTGAAGCTTCTAGGCCTTTTATCCAGTTCGTATGTGTTCTTAATTCTCTAATGGCTTTCTTTAAACTTCCAGACTGAGTTATATGTTTTTCAATAGTATTCCTACGGTGAGATTTGTAGTCTAGATTAATACGTTTGCTAATAAGTTTGTAGAGAGCTTTTAACTCTTCTTTCATACTCCTTGTTTTTGGTTTCAGGTTTTGTAAGTATTGTCGTCTTAACATCAATTTTTTAGTATTGGGTGAAATAACAGAAATGGTGTTATTTTGCTGTGAGGTTGTTTTAGCTTTTTTGAGGCTATTATTTATAGCAGAAATAATTTCATCATGAAAGTTTTGCACTGTATATATTTCTTGTCGAGTATGTAGGTATTCTAAGTTTTCGCAAAGTGATTTTTTGTATGTTTGTATTTCAATTTCATTGTTTAAAGTACTTTTTACGTTATTCTCAAAGGTTTTTCTACTTTTCTTTGAAGACTGCATATTCAGCGTGGCTCTCACCATTTTATGGTCGCTGGGATACTTTACATTAATCACTTGCATGTTGTGTACATATTTTTGGAGATTAGTTAGTATGTAGTCCACTTCATTTTTTACCATACCATTCGGTGATCTCCAGGTCCATCTTTTGCTGTTCTTCTTCTTAAAGAAAGTGTTTAAAATTACTACATTCTTTTCAAATGCAAATTCTATAAGCCTAGTACCTCTGTGGTTTCTGTTACCAAAGCCATGCTTTTTCATTACATTATTTTCTTCTCGTTTTGGTTGCCCAATTTTGGCATTAAAGTCACCCAATACTATTAAATTTTTGCCTGCAATAAGTAATGCTTTGTTTACAGTGGTGTAAAAGAGTTCAGTCTCGGTATCACTCGATGATTCGGTGGGGGCGTAACATTGTATTATGCTTACTTCAATGTTGTTGATAGTAAGTTGAAGTAGAGCCACTCGTTCTGATATGCCTTTAAAACATATAATGTTCTTCTTATGTCGCTTTTTTACTATGAATCCCACACCATACAAGCCTGGGGTCTGTCCTATATAGTAGAATATGAAGTCTTCATGTTCCTCTATAGTATTCCCAAGTCGTCTGACTTCAGAGAGACCAATAACATCATAATTTATGTTTTTTATTGCTTCTTTTAGTTCAAGTAGGTGGGAGTATGAGGACAACGTTCTCGTGTTGTATGTTGCTACATATAATAGATTTTTTTCTAGGTTATCTTTGTTTTCATTGCATGTATTCTCTAGAGGGTTTTGGTCTACGTCTCCCACGGGGACCGGCCGTGTTGGGAGAGGTGAAAATGGAGGGGCGCAGCTTAGTTTTTTGGCATTTCCTGGGAATCCGAACTTGAGAATACTTACACTGCTTACGGACATAGCCTATTATTATTCTGAGATACGAAGAGCCACCCACGTTATTCATGTGTACATGGCAACCTCAGAAGTTTATCTTTTCGCAATCTTGTCTTTGACGATGCCTTAACTTTCAATATTTTTGATTATTACTTGATTTAAAATAGATTTTTGTATACTTTTGTATTATCTCTCTTGGGTCGAAACTGACCTAAAAACACATACGACTAAAAGTAAACAAAAATGAGATATTATATTATTCGAGATAAAAAACACCCATCCTTTATTAACCAGAATGGATGTGGTCGTGTTTGTAAATTGATTATTAATCCTAAACAAATTGGCAATGAAAAAAAGTACTGCATTTTCCTTTTGTGATTTTTATTCTAAAAAGATTTTATTGTTTTTTTTACTACTGGCTACTATTGTTTTTTTTTTTTGTATTTTTTATTCATGCTTACGTTATCGGTTAAAGTGTTTAGTTTATATTATGTTTTTACGTAGAAATATACAAAAAAGATTACATTTTATTTTCAAGATTATGTTAATGGTTCAACTTTATACTCAAGTTTATTTCTTATTAGCGTAGAATAGTACACATAGAGTAATTCTCTACTACCACCAATTTCATTTGAATTGATACTATATATCTATTAATTATTATTAAACAAAAATTGAAATTGAGATCCAAAAAATAAAGCAGACTGGGCTCCTCAATCACAGGGTAAATTTGATTAAACAGGCACAGAATCGTGTAACAGACCTGAAAATAATTAGATATTGCTACTGAAAATACGAGTAGTAAATGTTAACTCACCCATTTTTAACGAAGTTAGAGATGTAATGCATGCACAGTTTTGACACACGTTGCTCTTGTTGCGTGTAATTCTGTTGATGATGCATTGTTGACAGTGGCACACCCAGGTAATAGGGAAGTTCCTCGCCGTGAACCGACCCCGGTCTCTAAAAAACAATTTTATAATTGTTAAAAAGATTTTACGTCAGATCATAACTACACAGATATTTAGATGGTGATTGCCACAGAAAAAGATTTTTTAGACGAAGGAATATTTGCCAACATTTATCTTTATCATATTTATTAAATATCCTCATTTACATTTCTATAAGGTAAAATTAATTTTTAACCTAGAATCTTCTAGATCCTACATCTAATACATCTAACGATATTAATTTAATTAAACCTTTTGTAATTTTTCACTAACTGTTGTATAGATAAATCACCAGGTGTTCGTCTGCCTTATTCTAATGTGTGTACCAGAGATTGTCTCCTGCGGTAAAACCAGAATGTTTGCCGTCTATAATAAATTTCATTATACTACGTAGCATTATTATGTACAATATAAAATGTTTATGTAACGATAAAGTGATGAAACTACTTAGTAAGTGTATATACATCTATAGTTTCTGCTAAACTAACTAACTGCTAACTCTTTAAGGCCTAGTTTTTCAATCCTTAGATAAACAGATAGATATCATATATTCCACAGTTAGCCTAATTTTGGATTTTGCTATGGTCGGATAGCTGTTATCTGAAGAATAACTTTATCTGTAGTTTTAAGCCTCAGATAGAGATATTATCTGTAAATATGTTGGGGTAAAGTTTATGCACGTTGTCGTTATCGAATATATACATTTTGTACAAGTAAAATGTTTTTTTTTGACTTGATCGACAATTTAACTACCGAAGAAAACCATCTGATACTAAACTTTTTATGTCCTGGGAGAAAAAAAAGCGCTGTAATAGAAAAATATGACAATACCCTGCGGGATCATGAAGAATTTCATTCCAAATTATTAGCAAATGCACTTTCTATTTTTTGAAATTCAATGCTCGTTCTCACTGTCTTTCTTAATTACTTTTATTTCATACAGAAATAATACAAAGAGTAAGGTCATGTTTGAATATTTGACGGACAAACAACAATAATAATATTAATTTTAAGGCAAGCAGAGCTTGAACTTAATCACTCACTCACTCAAATTGAAATTAATCTGAGATTGACTATACCGATGACAAGAAATAGAAAAGAATGACACAAATGTTGTCTAATAGCTTGTTACTAAATATACCGCTGCACCCCTTTGCTTATGGTTACTGTAAACTTAGCTATGAAAGACCATGAAGTAACTATCTGTCGTTTTACACCCATTGCAAAGCAAAAAAGGTTTAGTCGCTTGATAAATTTATTTACAAGCTAGTTATCTGACAGTATAACTTAGGGATGAAAAATCAGCCCTTAATCTGAGTCTGGAAACCCGCTGGCTAATAAAATGTTTAAATGATCGGCAGTTCAAATTTCACCATTGGTGTATAGACTACAATTAGACATCCCATCAAAACTCAAACGCCCTTTATTTCATTTTTTTTTTGTTTGAAGTCGTCTTTTATGTAGACTTTAACACTTATACAAAATCTATGATATGCCTGTGGCGATCTATAGCCACCCGTTTCCAAGGGATTGATCCTTATGAGAAAAAGGGCAAACAAAATCATGTCCAATCTTTTGCGATTTACAGATAGATACAATAGCATCATTAATTATACCACAACATTGTTTTGATGTGTGCTAGTATGTCCGACAAGATTAAGAAAAACAAACGAATAAGAGAGAAAATGAAGTGAAACATAAGAAATAGAAAAATAATCGTAAAATACACACTAGCCCATACCATATTTTTACCTGTACTAATTAATCCCAAGCATTTTTGTCTTCTATGTAATCCAAAATTGAGTAGTAGGCTCTCCAAAACAATTCACTTTTTATTGCGCATTTAATGTTAATTCTTTAATATTATTTGGGATTTTATTATAAAATTGGACCTATTGACCTCGAAAAGATTTTCTTATCTTTTGGAGTCTACTGCAAGTACTGGAGTTGTACTGCAAGTTTATTTCTATTTCTGGTATTTATAGAATATACATCACTTCTTTTCAAAAAGCTATCTTTGTTTCTGTGAACATATATTACATTTTCATATATATATATATATATATATATTTACTTGCCACTGTCATTATGTTTATTTCTTTAAATATCTGATCAATGAACAATGATTACCTAAATTATAAAGTGCTCGAATCGCTCTCTATTGCAGTAAAAAAATAGTTTGAATGTCGGCAGCATTCCGGCACAGTATATAATACCGTACGATATTATGCTATGATAATAACTGAAGTAAACAAGTCGTTCTGTATCAACATCAGTAAACTCTCGAATTTTTCTTACTGCGTATGCTGCTGAGCCGTGTCTACTCGATAATTTATCAATATGTGGGTCCCGCTGTATCTTAAAATCTAGTGTTATACCTATAAATGTCGTAGTATCCACAAGGTCTAACCCGACATTGTTAATCATCACAGTAGTTTTCACTGGCTGGCATGGTGAAACGTATACACTTAGTTTTTTGTCCATTTAAAAGCAAATTGTTGACATTAAACCACTTTCGAAATGGCGATGTTTACGTTTGTGAAAGTGGTAAGTGTCCGTTTTAGTCTAAATAATAATGAGGTATCATCTGCAAACAACACAATCTCGAGATTGTCCTTGACAAGGTGAGGCAAGTCTTTAATCTATACTAAAAACAGAAAAGGGCTGAGAATAGAACCTTGTGGAACGCCTATTTCTACCACAGAGCCTGGAGACCGCTCAACACCTATCAGTCGTGGAGCGACCCCTTGTAAAACCAAATTGTCTATTGTGTAATAAATTACTATTATTAAAAATCTTTGCAATTTTTTTTTTTAAATTAAAATTTCAATACTTTTAGTACTGAGATAGGTCTAAAGTTAGTTGGGTCAGATGTACTACCAGATTTGAATAAGGGAATAATTTTACTAGACTTCATAAGATCAGGAAATACACATTGATAAAATGTAAAAGACAATTGATTAGATACAAGAGAAATAATTGTCTTAGTAATTAATACAGAATTTCCCCATAGTTCGGTTGTTTTTTAACATTAATAGTGTTAAAAACTTTAATAATTTCAAAGGGGGAAACATATTGGAACTTAAAGTCACTATCAATCCTACTAACATTCTCTTTTAAAATTGATTCTGCAAGGCATGGTGAGAAGTTCAAAGGTTTAGTAGTTGATACAGGAATTTTAGTAAAAAAAAATCTCAAATACTGAGGTTGCTGCTGCATTTGAGTTTTTTTTTGAGATGTGATAAATTTATTGTTTATATTTAAATTAAATTTATTATCACCGTATTGATTTTGCCAGCTTTTCTGTTACAATTTTCCAAGGGGTTTTATCTTGCGTGGAACTCTGCCGTCTCCTTCTGCGAGCAAGTTATGCTCGCGAAGGAGACGGCGGAGCGGGACCGGGACAGGTTTAGGACTCTCCCGGCCCGCCAGGCCCGGGAACGGGCCAGGTACCGTAGGCGACTCAGGCGCCTCGTGTCCTCCATAAGCGCAGGCCTGGGGGGTGACAGGTGAGGCCATCTGTCACCCTAGCAGAAGCAGGCCGGGGTGGCGGCGAGCGCGTTGCGAAGCGCGCTCGCTTCCAGGGAGCACCGGGAACATGGGGTTCCACACGGAGGGGGGTCGTCTACTCGTCTGTAGATGACCCGAGGTATGTCGGGGTACCAGGGACTTCCTTTCTAGGGTATACCTGGTTCCCCGGCTATTAGTACCCGAGACGGCGTGCGGTTAGTTTGTGTAATCTTTTCCTATTTTTGAGTAAGTAATCACTAAATGTGGCGTTACCTTTAACCACTAGCGTTTTTGGTGTAAAAATGGTGTTAAATGTTGAAGAAAAAGTTTCAAAAAAGCTATTATAAAAAGTTTTAGGGTGTTCTCTTAGTACTTCCTTTCTAGGGTATACCTGGTTCCCCGGCTATTAGTACCCGAGACGGCGTGCGGTGCGGTGGTATCCGAGGGGATTTCCGCGCGGAAAAAAAAAAAAGGTTTTCTCTTAGTAGGTAAGATAAAGATTTAAAATAAAGTAATTAAAAAAACTAGTACCATTATCAATTAAGCGATATTTTTATTAGTGTCTTACAAAATAACAAATCAACAATCTAAAAGCGTCTGTAGTTTAATCAACACGCTTTCCCAGCCGGCGGGAATACATAAAAAATCAGTTAAACACTGAACTAAAAAATAGACATCATGCGGGTGCAGTATTTTATTCATTGAGTTTTGATTTCTTATTCAATTTTAGAACAGTTTTAGAGACATAGATTCTAGATATTTGAATTCTTTTTTTAAAACTCAGCGTGAAAAGCTAAATTTTATGTAAAAACGACTTTCAGATTTAGGTATAATGTCTTTATTTTATATAAAATTGATTAGCAACTATTCGATAGCGACAATAAAAAAATATATAATCAATAATTATAGATCAACATAGACAAAGAAAATTTTAACAAATGTAAAATTTTACGGATTTTATATTTATTTTACCTTCGTTGAATGTATGAATCTTTAAGCATCTCAACGTTTTTCTGAAATATTTGCTACTACAACTAACAAATAAAAATAAAATAATGGTCAAATAAAGTACGAAAATTCTAGCAGCACTGCTTGCGTTTTATACTCGTACCTAAAGTAAAATCTCAAAATCGTTCTTAAATGATGTTACACTTTCAATTGCCGCTCATAGGCATTGAATGTTTCTTTTTGTAAGTCCTTTAGTAATCATGATAATATTGTTTAGATTCACTTTCAATTGGATATCTTTCATCATGATCTTGGACTTTTAATTACTTTTCGATTACAATTGTCATTAGGTTTATCAAAATTTACAAAGGAAGAGAGTTTCTTTATTTACCTCAATGTAGGTTATTCCTATTTGCATAGGCTGTATATATTTCGGAGATTAAAAACATAATTTTAATATAATTCGTGATGTTAATATTTATCATTTAGGAATACTTGTAATGAGTCGGTGCAATGAACGCTACCACTATTGCTTTGGTCACGTAGTTTAGTGCCTACGTCACCTGCTTAGTTGTTGTAGCTGCGTTTATTGCTTACAGACTCTTACACAACACCTTATATTCACTAGCAATAGTATGAATATAAGCTGTTTCATGTTTTCTAGATTAACAATACAAACAATTTATTTTGTGATATAAAGCTGAAATAAACGTATATTGGTTTTTTAAAAAACTTATCAAAAACCTTTCGTGCATGAACATAATATTTTTTGTTGATGGAAAGAATATTCTTGCAATTTAAATGGGGCATAATAATATGAGTATATTCGTGAAACGAAAAGCGTTTTATCAATTAAACATTATTTATTTATTTAAAAACACTTCGGCAAATTTAAAAGTTACTATGGAAATTATATTATATATTAATATTTTAAAATATCCGACTTAACCTTTAAATTCTAAATTCAATTTAGGAAAAAAGTTATTAAGTACAACATCTTAGAAAAAGAGTGATTATACTTTGGAGAGTAATTAATTCGGGTTTAATTAGGAATTGCCAATTATCTAATGTAAGGTGGTGAGAATGCAGCCCGGACCTCAACCCGTTGAAACATACATAGGATAAACTCTAACTTCTTCAGAGAAAACGAAACCCTCCCTCTCATCACGTTTCGGAAGTAAAACAGAGACGTGACTTGTGTGAAGGAACTATGTTTGTAAAACAAATAAAAAATTTGTCCGTTCCAAAAAAATGAGAAAATGCAAAAATATTCCAAAACTTTTTTTCAATTTGTCTAAACTATTTATCAACTATTAACACCGATTGTCTCGTATAACTACAAATTTACCCACCACATTATATACAAAAGAAATGAGAGGCTCAACTAAGTTCCACAACTATACGAGCAAACTATATAATTGAGCTTCCACGGTGTGTGTTAATACCTGGTTCCAATGATAAACACATCCTTGCAAGTGTAGTGTTTCACTAAATGGAATTAATACTAAGTTTAATAGTCTCCGGGAGACATTTGGAGCGGTACAGTGTAGATTTAACGAATACGAATGAACTTTAATCTAGATTAAAGTTTATATTGTTTTTGTTTAAGTTTTGTTGAGTTGCACGAATTCATAAATCATATATGAAATGAAAACTTGGAATTAAGACAAAAACTTAGTTTATAGTGCATTCTTAGCCACCTAAAAGTACAGTCAAGTTTCTAGTATAATTTACTATAGCAGTTTCGCTAAGGTCATCATAGCGTAAAGGTCAAAGGTATATTAGATTTAATGTCTAGCTCCATTGACTTTAACCCACCTCCTAATATGATTACTTAGTTCGTTTTAATTTATAAATGTATGAATAGGGACCAGAAATGCTCAAGTTGCTACTGACGCTGACTGCAAATATAAGTTGCTGCTCAGATCATGTCTGAAGTCTGACATCTGGGTGCATTTGTATTTATTGTGTATATAAGTGTGTATAGATATTGGCATAACTTCTGAAGTCGCAGCAAGTAATTTCATAACTTTCAAAATATACGATTGTATAGGATAAGTTTAAGATAAATGCGTGTTATTTTAACCAAATATAACTAATTGACTTTTAATTAACATATGGCAACTTACTTGTGGATAATCTTTATCTTGTGAAAGATGATGAAAATGGGTGAAGTAAGTAGTTCCTCCGCGTAAGGCGTGAAGATATCCCAATCTGATCAAAGGTGCGGCTGTCCGTCCGTCGCTTAATACCTGAAGGCAAATAATACGTTTCAAATTTCATCTTGTAATAAATTAAAAGTACAACGACAAAAACAATAATCGAAAAAAATGGTTTAATCATAAATAGCCCTTTTTTATTAGTTTGATGTATGTATGTAGAACTAAACTTTAATTTAGACCTTAACCACAGTCTTATCTAGTATCCAGACTAAAAATGTTTATATAAATAACAGAGAAGCTGGGAAATCTGGTTTTAGAACTGTCTTAAGTAATAATTAAATAGAGTCCACGAGACCTAAGGAAAGCCATGAATAGAATCAGACACTGTAAAATAGCTTAATCTTAGCACAAACATGTATAAATCAAAAATAAAAACGAATCAATCCTGTTTGAATTGGAAAGGAAAAGACGCGCAAAGCTAAAGTCAATATAATCGAATCATAACAATGTCGCTTCTCTAATTTCTTATTTAGCGTTGTAAGTATTTCCAATAAAGGTTTTCGACTCGACATCGTGTATTCAGGGTGCACGGGCGTCATTAACTCCCTTTGTACGCCGTACGTTGGGTGAGTAGCGAAAACCACTTGAGGCTTAAGCCTCATACTCAAAAAAAATACGCTTCGAGATAATCTACTCCGAAATAATCTTGAATTTCATTATCGCGTAATAATCGGTTTGACATAATCTGTAAAAAACAAAGAAGTCTGCAGTACACTTATGATATATATACATATGCAAAAAATAACCAAAAGCTCACTGTACCATATGTTGAACATCGATAAAAATACAATTCTTGAATGCAATTACTAAAGAAATGAAAAAAACTTGCTTATCCCTATAAAATACACACTTACTTACACTACGTTTTTATCCGGTTCAAAATCCTTCAGTTAATATTTTTTAGGAGTTTTTTTAATTTGTACTAACAAGAAACGTGATGATTGTCTTAAATTTCAAAGTTTGTCGTCAGCTTCGAAAAAGTAATGACATTTATGAAAATGTCTTGCATCATATCGTTACAACCTTTATAGGGTACCTATAAAAATTACACTATGAGTATTGATTAAATCTATAGGAAGCATATAAGTGGTTGTCCAGTATATGCTACTGGGTGCCTTGTAGTGATAAATCTTTGCGGTATGTGTATTATATAAATATTTTATATATGCAGTGCAATGTCTTAATATTTTAATCTTGTTCAAGGTCCCGCGTATCGGCAGAAAATTGAGGTCTATGTCCATTTTTGTATTTGCAGATATACACTCTAAATGACCCAGTACATCACTAATACTAGCAATATACTGATACAACCAGCAGAATAAAAGTAGGTGCAGATGCACATGATTTATTAACATAAATAATATAATAAGTATACGTAGCTGAATCTGACATTATTTACTTACTTCTAAGGTTGCATCTCGAACACTAAGAGGATTTTGTACTGGCTTATCCCAGTCTGTGTATTCATTCTTCAATGTAGAGTAGATCTCGTTCAGATGATAATAGTAGGCATTACGAACAAATGTGCGAAGTATGCGATCCCTGCGGCTCTCATTGAAGCCAAACTCCAAGTCTTGAGCGTTAAATTCCAGGTAAGATTCTGCAAGGCATAGCACACCTCTCATTTACATATATTTACCGTTCACCGTCTCGAAACCCTCATTCAATTTATTCGGAAGTATGTTAACGCTCTGTGAATTACAACTTTAGTACTGAACCATAAAGTACGAGTAATCATTCTCTATAGGTGACGTTAATGAGGATTGAAATAAATAATCAAATTCATACATTAAACGGAGACGTCACTAAGATGGATATTTACGCAGCTTACATGTTTGCATGTTTCAGAACAAATTTCGTTTAGCTAATAGTTCTAGAAATACAATTATCAATGTAATTAATATTTAAAGATTTAAATTATATGTAGTTAATTGTAGTCGTACCCGACTTTAGACAGATATACCCGACGTAATCGAAATTAACAAAATATAATATTTTTTTACCAGTCGTTGTCAGTCCAAATAAGAGTTCTCTATGAGAGAAATCGGCCAGTTCATGTCCTGCTGCGTTGGCGACCGCCGCTGCGCCAGCGCCTAATCTTGAACTGTCAGTTGGGGGAGGAGCCTGTACAAAAACATATACGAATTGATAGGAATCGGGTATTCCAAATTTAATCTAGCTCTAGTGCATTTATTAATCGACTTAAAAAACACAAAAGAGGAGGTTATCAATTCGTCTGTATTTTTATTTGCATGTTTGTTACGCGATATCTCTATCAATTGTAGACCGATTTTCATTATGATAGTTGTAATCAAAAGGATATGCTCCCTAGGTGGCCCCATTACCACCAAATCAAGATCTGATGATGGGATCCTAGAGAAATCGAGGGAAACCCTCAAAGTTTACAACCACGACAACGTGTTTTAGCTTATTTCTTTAGCTATCAAACCTGTAAAAGGTATTTGCGTTTAGTAGTCGTTATGTCAAGTGGCTGAGCTGACGATGGAAGGATCCTTGACCTTTTATTTCAAAAATCTAATCATGTATTGACCTTGTTTTATTCTTTCAAGATATTTGTTATTGATTAATTTGCTAATTTTATATTAGACTGATCTTGACTGAATGAATTTGACTGACTGAATTGTATATTAAACAAAGATCACAATCTTTGTTGATTTTAAGACTTATAATCTGCAAAATAATATTGAAAAACAGGTAGGTACAAAAAGGTATTTCTAAATATAAATTTTCAATAAGTACAGTACCTACTTTCTTTATTAACCAACTTTTATAGCGCTAACTTATATATATATATATTAGCCTTAGGAAAATTGTTCATATTCAAAGATCCTGATGTATGTATGTATATATATATTTATATTTTTTTTTTTTGTTCGGAAAACATTCAGTGTATATAACAAAGGATACAACATGTGTTAACACTATCCACCATTTACATGTTTTCGCAGTTATACATCTAAACAGCTTAAAATATAATATATATTACTGGTATGATATATAATATAACAGTGCCTATTACTTGAGTGCATTGTGTGTTAAACAATTTAATCGTTACTGGTAATTACTTTACTCAAACATTTGTAAGAAAACACAAAAGAGAAAAGAAACATCTAAATTAATTGAAACAAGTTACGAAAAAATAAAATCGTCGTATTCTTTAATAAGAGTGAAAAATCCTAACAAAACAAAAAATACATCAGAATAAGTCCTGAATAGAATGCTTGTAGCAATATTTAAATTAAAATTGAACATCTGGCGAAAATTTGTTTAGAATTTTTCTCTAGGCATTTTCGCTTGTGTTTTAAACGATTTTTAACGTTATTAGTGAAAATTATTTCTATTTTATACATAATTTTTAATAAACAAACTACATTCTAAGGCAATAAAAATAACACCTTACGGAAAGACTGGTTTTCCCTCTCTGCAAAGAATAAGAGAAGAACAACCTATAAGTATAATTTCTGTCATTGTTTTGTCTGTCTGTCTGTATCTTGTATAACTACTGAATTTTTTACTATTATTACTACTGATTTAAAAAAAAAAGACTACGAGTACATATTCAAAACTTGTCATAATTTGAGTTCGTAACGGGGCAGGGCACAAATTATGCTTGACGATAATGTGTCTCTGTGATATGATTATTTAGTGAAAACTTTGCTTTATTTTCATTTTATAGACAGGGATCATTTTGTCCCGAAGTTTAACAAGCCAAGGAAATGTATACTTAGTTCTATTTATTAAACCGTAGAATCGATTCCGATGAATTTTGATATAGTTATATAGGTTTATTGGAGAACTTTTGTAAATCTTGACGGAGGTCAAAGAGTGTATCAATGTTTGTATGAGAGACCAATACTCTGTCAATTTATTTAGGTATTGTTTATGCTTTAGATAAAAATATCTTGAGAAGTAAATATTTATACTAGTTATTGCGAAATTAAACTTTGAAAATGGTAAAATAGTCGATCAAAAGTCGTAAAATATTTGCATCAGAATACCCGCAACTCGTCTCGCATTCCATATTATTGTCAAATATTACTTCCTTCTGCGAGCAAGTTATGCTCGCGAAGGAGACGGCGGAGCGGGACTGGGAGAGGTTTAGGACTCTCCCGGCCCGCCAGGCCCGGGAACGGGCCAGGTACCGCAGGCGACTCAGGCGCCGGAGGTCGCAGAACGACCTCCGTCCTCCATAAGCGCAGGCCTGGGGGTGACAGGTGAGGCAATCTGTCACCCTAGCAGAAGCAGGCCGGGGTGGCGGCGAGCGCGCTGCGAAGCGCGCTTGCCTCCAGGGAGCACAGGGAACATGGGGTTCCCACACGGGTGGGGTCGTCTACTCGTCTGTAGATGACCCGAGGTATGTCGGGGCACCAGGGACTTCCTTTCTAGGGTATACCTGGTTCCCCGGCTATTAATACCCGAGACGGCGTGCGGTTTTAGTCGGTTCGAGTCCGACATGCCACCGACAGGTGGTATCCAAGGGGATTGCCGCACGGAAAAAAAAAAGGGTCAAATATTACTCAACAGTTAAATTAAATTATACTTTTGACAAAAAATAAACTATCAGACAGACTACTTATTTTATACCGACAAAACCGGAACCAAACAAATGATTTTACTTTTAAATATTATCTTTATTCAAAGTCGAAGGAGGCATCAAATAAAGAAATATGAGACAGTTGAGTTTTTATTAAGCTATAACCATAAACTGGTAATATAATCTAACGAATCATATTTAGAAGGATATCAAAATCACGAACATTTTTAATTTTTAAAGACATCTCCCGCACTAGAAACAAATCCTGTGTCGCGGGGGACCTTACATACGTTCATGAAACGGACACAAAGAACACCCAGACTCATAACAACAATTTGTGAATCACTCAAAGTGTTGTCCCATGTGAAGATCGAACCCACAATACTCATGCTGTTATACATTATCAGATTCAATGTAACTTAGAGGGTATAATATTTTTATGATATGGAATCGTATAGATTAAGTATTTTTGATCACACATGTTTACAAATAGGATGTATATATTTAGCCATAGAACCTGTTAGTACGAATGGCTAAATTTTTAACTGTGCTAGTAAGCTCAGAATATAAAGTACAACTATACGTACTATATATACATACATACTAAACGTAGAATTCAATTTCCTACCTTAATATTTTTTATGTCATCTATTTACATGACTGCGAGGAAACCACTACAGCATATTTAATATTTAACTGCAGATTAGAATCTGATTCTCGCCTGCAATTTCAGGGTTCGCACCCATACCAAACGGCATTAAAGTTTACTGGCTCCAACCAGACCACTACTTTGCCTTAGACCTAGCTCAGTTATTATTTGTAGTGTAAAATTATCGATTCCCCGGGTTACACGCGAGACCCAATGCGTGGGAGTAACATCCGCTCGTACACCGTAAATGGATCAATGACAACAAAGATGGAATGAATGACATCATTGATAGCATGAATGACAGCATAAACAACGCTTAAGTATTTAGGCGTACATTGAACGTAGTATTCGATTTTTAGGTAAATTTATGACATATTGGCGTGCAATCATAAATAAAATTTATTTAATTATTTAATTATTTTAAATGTCTCGTTGGAAAATCTATTCATGCATAAATATCATTTCAATTGTAAAAGTAACACAAATTGTATCAATATATATAATACTGAAAAGATCAATATTCCATTTTCATATTTGTCATCTGAACTTATCATGTTCGAAATAGCACTGTTGTTGTTAATATCAATTCGATTAATCTTCGCGTTCCTAAAATAATGGTCCTGACAGACCGAAGGACAACTAAATAATCCTATAATCGTTCGTTTTTTGGCGGATACGTTGAAACTGTAGTGAAATATTAGTAGTGTTACGTAGGCCGGTTAAAGCGAATGAATTGATCTTGATATTGATCAGGAAGTGAGCGCTCTTCTCATTATGCACTACACATGTAGTCATAGGTAGTAAGTACCTTGAACCACAATCTCTTTTAGATAGTTGTGACGGATTCGTGACTTGGAGTACTAATATTCTCTTTAATTACTCCAACTAAACTAAACTTCTAAGGATTATGTCGAGCAGTTTGTCGAAAAGGTCAAAAAGGGTAGGATTACAACCTACAGATCACTGATTGGAGTCTTATGTATTAGCCACGACAGGACCACTTTCGGTTACTTGACATGGAATATGCTTCGTTGTTAAATCATGTATGTACCTTTAACTTACATATCAATTATTACCCTGAACTGGGATGTCTAAGAAAAATATACAAATAAACAAATAAAAAACTATTAATCTATCACGAATATGTATGTGTGTGCGTGTGAGAGAGAGAGAGAGAAAGAGTGTGTAACACATACCAATTTGGGTACTGTGTAAAAAAATGTGGGTAGGTACAATAAAAAGCTGGTAAATTAGAATGTTTTAGAAAAAAATTTTATACGAGTAAGTATTACTGTCAGCATCCTGTTACATAAATTGAAGAGACTTACAGCGGACGGGTTGACAATGACAGTGCCGTCAACGAAGGGTGCGAAGCCGGGCAGAAAGCGCGGCGGCTCGAGTCGCACCGCCAGTAGCTCTGCGAGCGGCTTGTTGCGCAGGCACGGCGCTAAATCATCTTCCAACAAATCCCCGTGACACCCCGTTTGCTCCGCCACCTGATAAACCGCCCACAAAATAATGCTTGCATCGAAATAAAATTTTGAGACTTTACACATCAACAATTAAACCAAGAAAATGGCTCAGACAATTTTACAGCTGTCAGATTCGTTATTATTAGCTTTAATGTAGCAGTTTACATATAAAAATATTTGCCGATTTCATTTAAACATTACTTCGGGTTTGGTCGAACTGAGTTTTTAAGTTAATATTCTTAGGCGATAAATAAACTTCTGAATACCACCGTAAGTTGTTTGTGGTCTGTTTCCGCCAGTTATTTATGAATTAAAGCATCTGCCTACTTAGTCTTAACAAAAGGTTTCACAATTTTTTCATTTGTTAAAAAACAGAAATGTGTTTTTTGTAAGAATATACATATATGTTGGTTTCAGATCTTTTATTTATATGTAGCATTTAATTTGTTAAAAGAAAATGCAGTCGACATTCTTAGAGATAAAAGTACCTTTCTTTTTATGGTGAGAGGCTCCCTCTGCAACGCCCATGAACTCAACCCCGACCCACTTAACAAGATGACTCGCTTCAGTAGTTCTGAAACAGATAACCTAATTTAATTTTGTCATTACGAACAAAGATCACTGAGATAACAAAATCTTTTCTTAAAAAACCTTTTTTTTATTTGCTCGCTTTCTCTTCAATAATAAAACTTATGGGAATGTCCTAAAGAGGGTTTTAGTTTTAAATTACGAAGAAGAAAGCTCTGCTCTTGTGCATGTCTAATGTGACCCTTTTAATCTCATTAAGTGGCGGAGGATCTAAACAGGATGGTGACACGTAATAATCAAACCTGCCTAGAGCGGTATAATTACGGTCAATGCGTGTCCCGAGGCAATCCAGCAAAGGGATCTCCTTTTCGTATGCGTACGCCAAAATATCGCATACACATAACCGGTTCTTCTTGAAAACTCATTAAAAATATTTCTAATGATGTTTTTCAAAACGGTATAATTAATATTATTTATAGGTTTACTGCTGGACATAGGCCTCTCCCATTGCACCCACTTAGACCGATTTTCGGAGATAGGCAACCGCACTATAATAACTTGTCGAGCCCGTTGGTCTAATGGCTAGTGGACTCCTAAGTGAGTTCAGAGATCGTGGGTCCGATTCCCATGCCGGATTATTATTATTACAGGATATTGTGTGATAAGTAGTAACTTTATGGGGGGTCTAAAGGGCGCTGTTTTTCCAGGCAACTTTGGACAAATATTACAAGATATAAAATAAAGTAATGGGTAGCTTTGGTATTGTAATAAAAGTGATTTTCAGTTGAGAAGAATTGGAATTTGCATCGTAAATACTAGATATATTTTATCAATAAACATAGTCTCACTCAGACTCAATCCACTATGTTTTATGACTACTCTTGTACACTGGATGGTATTCTCAATTCCCATGATTCTGACGATTTTAATTTTGTTGTAGTAAATTAGTATACAGATATTGAATAACATACAAAGTGAGTTACTGCTACTTTATCTAAATATGAAATTTTGATATGGGTTTATATTTGCATGAAAAAAAAACATATTTTAATACAAAACTTTTAAAGCGCTCTAATGTTTGAAGTTGATTCTCAGTAAGATAGCTGAAATTGAAATACTGGAATTGTAAGTAAGATAAACTATGCAAAACGTAGTTTGTAAGAGTTTGTTGGAGTTTGTAAGAACCCCGCTGTAGTAGTTTGCGAATGACTTCTATTAAGGAATACAAAATAGTACTCTACACGAGATAACATCAACTAAATTGCTTACCTCGAGCAACAGGTGACACCGCCAAAAAGTTTGCTAAGGCGGCTCCTGTACCGTGCCCCATAAGTGTAACCTTCTCTGGGTCTCCGCCAAATGCTGGTAGGTTTTCCCTCAGCCAATGCAACCCTGCCACCAAGTCCATTAGTCCAAAGTTACCCTGTGCCGACCCCTTAGCACCAGTCTTTAAGAAACCTACGACAAATTTCAAATATTTGTATTAACATTTCATAAAATTTTAGAATTGAATATTTTTTGTGTCACACATCATCACATCAACAGCCTTTAATAGTTTACTGCTGGATATAAGCCTCTCCTTAGAAAGGAGGTTTTGGCCTACTATACCAGGCTGGCCAGAAGGGTTGGTATAGGGTTTGAAGTTTTCCTTCTCTCTGCAGTGCTGTTGTTCTGCGTAGTTTGCTCCCTTAGTCGGCTCTTACGACACCCACGGTATGAATAGGGGTAGTGACACTGTATTCTTAATCTGTCACCACACAGTTTTGTGTGTTATTATAAAAATGTTAGATTGGTTTGTGTATGCTTCAAAAACTTAAAAAGTTCGTTACAGCTCAAATTTTGACACGATATACGAGTACATCTCGCTTTAAAGATTCTTTTTATGTATTTTTCGTCAGTTTTGTTCCTCATTTCACATCAATGTAACCACATTGTCCCACCGCGAAACTTGACAGGGTACGGCTAGTTATTAACAAAAATTATCATACAAAACTAAACATTTCAAATAACTATATTGCTATATATGGACAACAAGGTTACAAAAAACACACTTTAATCCGCTCAAACTATGTCAAACCGTACTTTTTCACAAACATAATTCAAAACTTCTGTCAATAGCTTCAATACACACTTAAATTATTCGACCTACAAAAAATATGCGAATGCATTAATTACTGAGATTAAAGACTTGTAATTGACTTGATTAAAAAATTGTAGAATCAGAAAATTCTAGCATGTTTTACGAACGAGCTCTATCTAAATTTATTATATTTTGCTTTTCGGGGAATGTTGTGACATTCCTCTTTCTATTCATCTCGGTTAATCCTGTAAGAGCATATTTATATGTATTGTTTAATATGCCTTTCTTTGTTTAGTTAAATAAATAAAACAATGAATTTAAAGTGAAATCTAAAATCGTAATCATAAATATATTTTCTACTATAAATGACTATAAACTATCCTAGTAAACAGTAATGTCGGTGTTGTATTAATTATAAAATACCAATGCGAATGCGGTGTTATAAATTATCCTGTAAAATGACTATGCCTCAATATTCTAATGAACTACATGAATATATATGATACTAAATGAATCCGAATTTAAATCGTAATTTTAGCAATTTATTCGAAATATTGAAAATCAGAATATCGTTTTTCGGACTAAAAACCCATCGAGCATTTGATTCTTCAAACGTATAAAAATCGGAAAAAAAACAAATCGCATTTACGATTTTCAGTAAAATAAATTTCGTGAATTTTAATAATAGACATTATAATTCTTAGATATTATGAAATTCGGACTTTAGAAAATCGGAACACCGAAATTCGGAATAAAATATTTCGGAGTATTTATGTGTTACCAATATTATAGTAGGTATTAAAAATTATCAATAATAAAATAGCTATATCACCAAGACAGAAGAAAGTCTGGAAAACAGATATTTTTTCAAAAATGTTTTATTCGTAATACTAAAACTCATAATTATCATCAAAAAGTATCTAACACAAAGAGAAATAGTGCAAAAACTTTACTAAACTGTTTTCTTTTTGCCTATTTTTACAAATTATATCTGATTTATGGCTTTTTAAATTTCACGTACATTTCTAGACACTGGTACATTTCAATGGATGCCGTCACTTATGTAAATATAGTACATATTTCACTCAATCCCCCGCATATGTCACCGTCATTCAAAGTTACCCCGGTAACACACACACTCACAGGTGTATCAATATTTTATACCATATTATTCGGCCTCGTTTGATGTAAAATATTACATGTACTTAGCTAACATATTTGGAATTCTTATTCTTTGTTCTAGCAAGTCATTACTTGTCTTTTGTTAAACGGCTTAAAGAAATGTTTGCGTCATGAATTTGGCTAAATTGGATTGAATTCTGAAAGTGTTTCTTCTTAAGCATCTACGATTGTGATAGTTTGGATTACTGTCAGTCGGAATCTTTTGTACATAGTGTGCCAACGTCAATCAATTGTTAAGCGAGACAAATCTAGTTGACAAATCTAAAAGACGAGTTGTTATTTGTCATTGCGAATGTTGTTTTATTTATAATACCATTGGTTTAATACGATTTTTAATGTAAGAACGGAATCAACAATGATAATTTCATTTTTTTTTCGATAAGTATTCTGTGACCAGAAAATATTAGAATCGACATAGTGGTCATTATAAACATTACGTTCGTACGTTTCTGAAAATAAGCACTAATTTGATATGTCGTGATAATTTCAATTTTAGAATAATTGAATATCATACACCGTTACACCGGTAACAAAAGCTGATTGTCATATCAGTCTAAGTAAGTCTATCAGTTCACAATAACATATATGGTGGTTGGATGTGATCGGAGCGTTCAGTTTGGAAAGCTGAAGTAAAAAGTTTTCAGTATTTTTTTTTGGTAGTGCATTGGGCTAGCTCCACCAGAGTCCTTTATCTTTGCCTCCTATTCCTTTGTTCCCTATACCATAAAAAATTAAACCTTTATAATTTGTTTGGATATAAAAATCAATATGTTAAGGTGGTCAACGCGTATCTTCGGCCCTTAAACTCTAGTGCGTCGATCCTGGATTATATGTCCAATTTACAAATTACCGGTATCCGTCCCTACATACTTACAGTGTGAGAAGTGTGTTTTTGTCTGTGTTAAAACCAAGGGGTTTTCGAATATTTTACAGTTGAGGCTATCAATATATTTACTAAATAATAATCTTGTCCTAATTCAAGAGATCGTCGGCGTTATAAAGAAAACGTTTCAAAGCCACTTCAATTACCGTATAGCTTAAACTTGCAATGGTAAGTCGATTTTTATTTTTTAGAGATATTTTATTGGTATATACTGGGTCTACCAATAGGGATTACCTGGTTTTGACAGCTCATAGCGGCCATGTTTGATGATGGTTTTTTGACGTCTCTTGACATTTGTGTTCAGTAAGGTTTTCCATTTTATCATGTCACGTTTCACTTTAAACCAACGCTTGGAAATTGTCCAAAATTATTACGCAAATTCGCGTTCTCCTACCGCTACAGTAAGAGTGCTTCGCGCAAAAAACGGTCGTCATAGTGCTCCTTCTGTGCGCGCTATAAATCGCAGAATAACAAAATTTGAAAGTGAATTCGCTCTCCACGATACTGCTGTGCCTGTGAGACAAAGAAATGCCCGTAGTGAAGAGAATATCGCAGCCGTTCAGGCCAGTGTTGATGTGAATTCAAATCGATCAGTTCAACGCCGTTCACAAGAGTTTTGGCTCTCTCCCATGACCACCTGGCGTATTTTGCGGTTGGATTCGGGCTTACACCCATACAAAATTGTTTTGGCACAAGAATTGAAGCCATCCGACCATTGTATCCGTCGTGAATTTGCCGATTATGCACTGGAAATGATGGCAGCCGATGACGATTTTCATCGTAAAATCATCTTCTCAGATGAGGCTCATTTCTGGCTTAATGAATTTGTTAATGGAGTGAGTCAAATCCACGTGTGGTTCATGAATCACCATTGCATCCGCAAAAAATAACAGTTTGGTGCGGTTTATGGTACGGTGGAATCATTGGTCCGTACTTCTTTGAAAGTGACGAAGGAAACCCTGTTACTGTGAATGGCGAGCGCTATAACTCGATGTTAACCGAATATTTCTTTCCGGAATTTGATGATATTGATGCAGACGACCTTTATTTTCAACAAGACGGTGCACCACCTCACATTACTAGAGTGAACATGGAATTAGTGCGTGGAAAGTTTGGTTTCGTGACCTAAAAACGAACATTCGACGAGCCATAGCCGACATACCGGCCGAAATGGTGCACCACGTCATCTAAAATTGACGGTCACCCCCGTCTGCAAAAAGAGCTGCGGCGGTCATTTGGCCGATATATTATTTAAAACATAAATTGCATAAAATTATCTATCAAATAAATCAATCGGATGCATTTTTCATGAAAAATTGTGTGTTTTATTTAATTTTTAAACCAGGACGTTCTTATTGGTAGACCCTATATTTATCTGTAATAAATTATACGCTATAATCGCGGTCTCCACTCTAGCACCGGTCGGCTCCAGCGACCATTAGTCCGCCTGGAGACATAATCGGCCCACTTCCACTTCAAGGTACTGATTCTCCTTGCTATGTACGTTATTCCAGTATTAATACACCAAACATCGCACCCTCCATCGCACGTTGCGTGACTTTAAACTTGTGGACCAGTCCAACGGTGTGTTATTATCAATATTGTAACGCAGTGTTCCAGCAACAGAAGACTCGTTAACGTCTGTCAGTTCATATCCTCATTTGTTTCAAAGTTATGGTTTGCACAAAATTTGGCACCTTATTAAAAGGCTTGTGGTGCAATACTACCAGTAGCGCTAATGGATTGATAGACATTCGCCAATGACTGATGATGCATTAGAAAAGGCGATATCCAATTTTGTTTTATTGGCATTTCATATATTATTGTATTTCTATTAGTGACACATATAACAAGAGTGTCGACATTTAAAAACTACTTTATAATCAGAAAATATATTATAACGATTAGAAGATGGATAGTTAGAGTGTAAAAAAACAGCGTGAGGGGTCTATGGACCCCGGAACGATATTATGAAATATAAAGTTAATAAAGTTAAATTGAAAAAAAATATGATAAAATATATTTATTATTTATAAAATAAATAATTATAAATTAAACACTGAATGATCTTGGATAATAAAATTAATACTAAATAAAAACGGTGTGAAGGGTCTATGGACCCCGGTCGGCACGAAGTTCCTTTCGCTGTTTGGTAGACCTTTCCTATATATATGTTATAAAAAAAAAGATGTGAGCGTCTACGCGCCAACTGAAGTGTGGGAAAAAAGTCTTGTTACACATTTTTCGGTGTCACTCCCATCCGCTCAGAGCGTGTCACGCGCGATAAGGAACTTCGTTCAAATACATGTTTTAATGTATGTTTATTTTATATATCCTGGGACGGTACCTAGACCCACTCTAAACAAAGCTAGTATGAAAGGTTGTAGAACACTAATAAGGTTACTTAGATACTTTTATTTTGTAAAATACAAACACAACTTAAATAGAAAACACCTAGACTAATGCAAATAGACCTATTATATGACATATAATCGATCTAAGTGGCGTGCAATGGGAGAGGCCTATGTCCAGCAGTGGACTGCGATAGGCTGATGATGGTGATGATGACATATAATAGACGGAGCTGGAATTGAACCCGTGGCCCCCGGTATAGCAGTTTAATGCATTTCTGACGTCCTGTATTGTAACTTATTACTTGTACTTATAATAGGTCTTTACCTATGAAATTGCCGTTTTGTATGCAATAAGTGAAAGTACTTATTTTTTAAAACTTTTTTATTTCTGTTATTCGAAGTAATCACCCATGCAATCGACGCATCTTTGCCAACGCATTGGCAGTTTATTGATGCCCTTCTTGTAAAAATCAGCTGGACGGGAGGCAACAAATTCTTCAAAGGCATTTTGTACTGCCTCTCGGGAATTGAATTTTTTACCCACTAAAAAGTTGTCTAAATTTTGGAAAAAGTAATAGTCGGTAGGTGCAAGGTCAAATATAAGCAAACATATTATAGATAAATTACACTGAGACATAGAAATTGGAATTGAACCCACGACCTCTGGCTTAGCAATCAGAATCACTATCCACCAAACCACCAGGCTCGTAAAGTATCTATCAGTAAAGTTAATAAGATAATTTAAATACTTTTCTTGTGACGAAACCTAAAATTTAACCCCTAGCCTAAAAGATACCTTGAGTTATGTTAATTTATGAAATGTTTCACTTTTCTTTTTTTCTTCGAGGAATCAAAAGGCTTTGATTTATGCCAAAATAATAAACAAAACAATATCCAGAAAATTATACTCGTCGTTGTAAAAACGTGAATAAATTTTCTTATGATTTCCGAGATCGTCTTTTTACAGCTACATCAAACGTCGCTTACAACTGTAATAAAAATATTATAGTGAAAAAAATATAAAATAACACGCTTTAACAGTAAATTATTCGTAATTTAGGTAGTTAAAAATATTTTCACTATCCATCATCAGACAAATGTTAATAAGCCCAAACCGCATTACACATTTTTTTCCATTTATGGATACAATATGTACAATTCAGGTGTCAGCTATAAAACATCGCAAAAACCTACAAACTACTATAACTTACAAACTTAAAAAAAGTAGATCAATAGATTAAAATATTAGCTATTGAATAGTAAATGTAGATTCGTTTGAGAAATGTAGTCAATAGGAAAGAGGTTGATTTACGTTCCTTGATGATATATTAGTCTAACTGGATAAAATATGAATGGATGAATTAACAACGGCGGAGATTTATGTGGTTAACTTCCCACTGCCCATCTGTTCTTGTCCGAACTAGAGATATGCTTGTCTTCACTACTTAGCGTACTTATATAATCCTATTTAGTCTAGTTAGGATGGTAGAAATTATTGTATAGAAGCGCTTCGTAAGCAATCGTATCTAACAAAAATAAAAAAATCACTAGCTCAGTTAATAAGCAAAATTATGAAATATTAAATTTGTTAAAACATTTATAAATTTCTTTAAGTTCATTTATTTAAACTTATTTGCAAAGTATTTACGACACAGTGAGCATTAGTGACTACTCCATCTGTCTGATGGCTATCCAATCTAAACCAGAGTATTGATGGTCGTCATGAAGCCGCAAAGCGCATTTCCCATTCATTTAGGTCCATCAATCAGATACACGCCACGTGTCGAAACGACGCTAGACGGGTTGCGGTATGCGGTTTGATTTCGAATCAGAAGTGTATTTATTACTACGCACCATATACTCTCTTAAATTAATTTGTGAAAGCATAAAGGTATATTCGTACTGTTTTAAGCAACTTTCTTTAATTTGAAAGACATCTAGCTTTCTAGGTTGACGTAACAACTTACCCAATACACCTAATCTAAAGTTGATGGTGACGACAACGATGTTTCCATGTGCCGCTAAAGTTGTGCCGTCATAGGCGTTCCCCGAGCTCCATTCATAAGACTCGCCGTGTACAAATACAAGGCAAGGCAGTCCACTCCCCTCGCCGTCACCCTCACCCCCTGTACAACATAAACATTCACATCAAATACAAATAAAACGCCAGATTAAAATTGCGATAAAAATACAACGTCAAAAGATATTGCTCTTTGGTTGTAAATTCAGTCTTATTTTATATTATGAGAAAGAAAGCGAGCGCTTCCTAAATATAATAAATCAAGTAACTTGTGAAAACTTTGATTGCGAGAAGATTTTTTATCAGGTGAGGTAAGAATTAAACTCAAGAAATGAAACAGTGTTATAAACAATATATTACATTTAACTAAGTTTGTATACTCTCCAACTAGAAGGCTCAGAAAATCAATTTACCTAGCATGACAAAATATTAAAAATCAAATTTAAGCTAATGGAGTATTTTTAATATTAATCTACAAAATCTTCGGTGCCCTTTTTAGAAATTTAAAGCGGTTTTAGCTTTTACTGAAACTGTACTACTTATGTTTTGTTTTTATATTATTTTTATATATAGCCTTAAATAACAATAATTTCAATTAAAAAGAAACGAATAGATTCTATTGTATTGACAGTATCTTAATCTTCACAAGAAGGCAATATCTAATAACATTATTATTGGATATTGTTTCCTTTGATAGCTAATCTAGGATTGTGTGATCAATATTTGAAATGAGGGATAAGCGGAAATTGACAATAGGATCGTACGCTTGGTGTATGTAATAGGACAACTAAAACAACTGACTACAAATAAATACAGTTAAGTTTATTTGTCCATACCATTTCAGTGCATGTTGCACAGAACATATTTTCTTTAATCGAGTGTTTGTAGACTTGGTGAGAAGTCTACGGCAAAGATCTAAGGAAAATGGGTATCTTCGGGATCGGGCGGAATAGAAATTTGCACACTGTAAATATCAGACTATATAGTATTTTTATTATTAAACACACTATAAAATAAATTTTAATTTTTTGGTCTGAGAATATCATTCTTAATACTTTTATAATGTTATGATATAACGGCTACATTATGCAATAATGATGCTATGTCGTAAATTTTCTAAACAGTAAAGATAGAGATTTTCTAAACAGTCAAGAAGAAGATTTATAATGATTTCAACAACACATTCTGCATATTTTCAGAAAAGTTTTAGTATATAATCGTTAAGACATTTATTAGTAGCAGATATTTTTTAATGTAAGAACTTGGAGCTAAAATCAATAACATCTTAATACAGCAGCATACAACTACTGTATAATCAAAAACAAACAAAAACACAATTTCACTGATTTCGCAGGCCTTTTAACTCTTAACCTTTACACATCAATTATAGTGTCATTCAATTATAGTGTCTACTTAATATAATTGTCGTATATTACTTACTAACTTAAATTTACTTCATTTCTGTTTGTTTTTACGAACATATCAAAAACTAAATTAAAAGAATAAGAGTGTAAAAATACTTAATATTACAGATGAATGTAACATGTTTATTGCAATGGATCAAAAAATAAAATTTATGCACACATCTTCTTGATTATTGACGGCAGTCTCCCGTATCTTGAACTGTAGTTATGGGATGTCTCAACCTCACTTCCGCACTGCTTGCAGGAGGCAGGATGCACTGCAATGCACTACGGAATTGAGGCCTCGACACCCCTATATTGATGATAACACCTCATGTCCTTTTCAACGATTCATTTTCTCCGTCGTTTTATTCGTCTTCCGTTAATGCTTCCGTTAAATAAAGTATATACACATCTATTGCAAACAAGTAATAAGTTGAATACTTGTTTGTATTGCCAACCCTTAGTACTTGCTACTAAATACACTGTGCATTAATTATGTCCCCGTCAAGTTAAGGCACAGGTAACTTTACAAGTTAGGAACGCAGAATTGTTTCTAAGTTATAAACACCATGCATTTTTTAATTATATAGGTATTATGTTGCAATTGCGTTTACGGCATTTTTCAAGAAGTTTTCTTTATACATATAAAACTGAGAACACGTAGGAATAAAAATAAATACACACAAGACACACACTTTAGACTGCAGCTTTCAACAGTTGCAGTAGTATGGTTGACTGCTAGAAATTGTCGTAGGTATTAAGTGGGCCAATGCACTAATTGGGCGTGATGTATGATAAAAATAAAGTAAATAAAATGTTTTTGTTAGTGGAAAGACACTCCACCACAGCCCTAATGCATAAATGATAAATCCTACCATGTTTGTAATGTATAATCTATTGTTCCGATAAATTAACTCATATTTTAGTCATACTTCTTTGTTGACTACAAAACTTAGCTTAAAGATAGAATTAAGCTTCTATGAAATCCTCTTTCAAAACAAAGGTGCTAATTCTGTTGTTCGAAAACTCTCAAAACTAAACTAAAAATCACAAAAAATTAGTCCTATCAAACAACGTTTCGTATTCTAAAAAGTAGTAGACAAGACTAAACTAAGTTTTAGTGATTTTTAGTAAAGTTTAGAGAGTTTTCGAACAACAGAATTTATTATCTATAAAATACATGACAAAATAATACTAGTACAACAAACCTAGCTCAAAGGAGTTAACTTTAAAGAGTAGCTAAATCAGCTAAGAAATTTAAGATCAATTTTAGATTTTCAGGAGAATTGGTCTTGTAAAATTACCTTTAACACTGATTGATTGACAGACAACGAACTGACTACTCTTAAATAGATAAGTGAAGAATAATAAACCTTTGCAAAAAGTTTTATATTTTTACACTTTGGTAAATAGGGTACAGAACTAATAATAAGGTTACAATTCATTTTTCGTTCCTAACAGCCGTTTATTTAAGAACAGTTTATCAAACGGTATTATTTTAAGTTTTTTTTTTGTTATACATATTTTGTGCATTTTATTCGCCTCTAAATACACATATTTTAAATTATTTAAATTTATTAAATATTCGATCCTATCTATAACAATAAAAATGAAAGAAATAAAATACTTATTATTCATAGTATTATTATTTATAACTATTTCTATAAAAAAGATTATTGGAAATCTTATTATGCAAACGACTAGTTTTAACATAGATTATACAAAAAAGATTGGACGTTAAATATACCTAGACTAATAAAGAGGCTGAGCCCTTACTACGCGGATAGCAATCCGGAACGTTTGAAAGGCGGATTAAGTCCTTTTATAGAGCCACCAAAGCTATTAAATGTTTCTCTATTTATATATTAAAAGACTTTTTTAATTAAGATATTAATAAATGATTTACAGCAGAAGTTCCCTTTTTGCTTAGTAAATTCTTTAGCCTACGTTATTCGAAAATGGTTTGAAAATTAGTCGTTTAATTTAGACAACTAAAGTTCCGTATATAAAAAGAGTAACTAAATCCTTTAAATAAAAATGATCAAGAAATAAAATAATTTTAAAATTATAGTTGTTATATAAAAATAACAACTATAATTTATCATCGTCATCAACAGCCTTAAACGGTCCACTGCTGGACATAGGCCTCTCTTTAGAAAGGAGGGTTTGACTATAATTAAATGGCACTAATGCAGATGATTAAAAAATGTAACGTAAATAGTTATAATAGTTGCCGGAACGCCCTTGTATAGGTCCTTAGGACCTGCCTTTGACTGATTTGCATATTTATTCTGATTTATTTAGCCATTAAGACGCATGCTCTTAACATAAAAATTACTGGCACCAACACAACTACACCTACCATGATAGCTAATACTTACTAGTATTACACAGATCGTAATTTTTATATTTCTAGTGTTTTCCATCGTACTTTTTGAACTCGGCTCAAAATTCTTACTTATTTTTAACAGCATTAAATATTATACTTACAATTCAGGTCAATGACATCGAGTGGTATAGGTTAACGTCACAAGCATCGATCATTATACAAGAATCCCTTGTCCAATTGTGAGACATAAGAGGTTAATAGTTTGCATAAAACATAAATTGTGTTCCTGATTATTCCAAAACTCGTTTCTATCACAAAACAAAAGCAGTTAAATGGTGTGTGAATGATAAGTGGCGGATTCATTCAAGTCAGTCCTTTGTTTGTGCGAATCGAATGCCAATAGTAATTTGAATCACTCTTATAACGTAGCAAAATCATATGGTCTCTGTAAAATTCGTATTAATGTTATTTAATATAAATAAGATTACTAATTTTGAATTTCAAACAAATTTGTAGACTAATACTGAACTTATATAATTTGTTAGACATCATCAATCCATAGGAGGCAGTCCGTAACGCTTTAAAATTTTGATTGGAAATTGTATTACAAAATTGAATTGAAACCGCCAAATGATATGAATGAATAGTGTGAATAAACCACTAGCAAGGATTAATGAGCACCACAAACCCCGCTGTTGTCGAATCTATTAGGTCGTTACTGCTATCCTAATATATCAGACTACCGAATAAAAGAGGTAAGATATGATTATAGTTAGCCACCTTAAATAAACACGTGGTTTAGCTTTCTACGTCTTAAATAAAAATATTTGCATGGTCTGCAAGTTACACTGACCAGCGCACAAATGTCTGTCTTCGGATCTCAAGGCCCTAAAAATGTTTAATTGGAGTTTTCCTAGTTGGAAATTTCATAATCACTTATCATGGGCAAGTACCTAATAAATGTCTCTGGTGAAGAATGGATACTGTATAGTAAAGCTCACCATTTACAGGCACGTAAAGGTTGACGTACAGGCAGTCTTCACTCTGGTTGGCTAGGACGGGCAGCAATCGTTCTAGCTGGCGTATTCGGGCACGAGGATGTAATAGAAGTGCATCATCACGGGGCATGGCCACAGGTGGAACCTGCGGGCACGCCGGGCCCGATGAGTCCGCCAGCCGCGGAGTCCGCCACTGCGACGGTGTCACCGGCGGCATGTATCTAGACGATATTATTTCACGATATATCAAACCGTAAAGGTTTAGCACTTATAGTAAATCACGTACTGTGACATATTAAATAATGACGAAAGTAACAAAGCTCGACAGTTATCTAACAAAAACAGTCAGTTGCGGGATAATGATTGAAGATTCAAGTCCTCGCCTCGATTTGTCAATTTCCACTAAAGAGGGCGAAAGGCCTCAAGAACTGTTATGAAAAAATGGAAGTGTATCGTTAATAAATTACACATAACTCACTGAACGATTACTGAATCTGAGGTGGATTTCTCTTTTTTATTTCATATAAGGACTAAAAACGTCTTGAGCAGGCGAGCGTATGATTAGAATGTGTAACCCGAGGCTTATCCGAGGATTTGAGGCTGGAGATGCCTCTGCATTCCACAAAACTTTATGATCTTTTACTGTTGAAGCTGTACGTTTGTGGAATGAATTGCCGATAAACATCAGGCGTGGGCAAACGATAAACAGCTTTAAGAAAATAGTTCAAGAATTTTGTGTATTAATTCATATTGTATTAAGTCAATTACGCGTTAAAGCATTACAAGAATGTTCCTTTTCTTTTTTCCTTTCTTTTTTCTTTTATGTGATGTTGTTAATTAGTTATGTATACATAAATATTTGTATATGTATGTATATTGTATATATGTTTTATGTGTAAATATTTATTTAATTTTACCTCTTTTATGTTCATTAGTAATTAACCTGTCACAACTAATTGCACCTTCAACTACTACTGTCTCTCCAAAACATTTTAATCCATCATAAGGTTGCCTGGAAGAGATTGCTCTTAGCAATAAGGCCGCCCTTTTTACATTACATGTCTGATTTTTAATGTACCACACTACTTGTAAAACGGTGTGCAAATAAAGAGTTATCTATCTATATATCTATCTTATCGTGGACCCAACAACCCCAGATAATGATTTTGAAATAACGTATAATATATGTTATGATTATTTAGCAATTTTTTCTTCTTACTTATTTAAGGTGTTAACGCAGTAAACCATTAGAACTTATCCTTTTTTTTTTCTTCTAATTTTAAATTTCCTTTTCAGTTTTACGCCTAGCTCTTTTCTTTTACAAAGTTGTCAACTTTGTGACGTTAATCCGATTGATTACCGGATTTACCAGGAAAACCGTCAACAGCTCATCCTAAAATACCTTATTTTGATTGTCTTACGATGTAATAGTGCTTAAGTTTGAAACCAAAACAAAAAACAACAAAAGAACGAAACAACGAGAAAAAACAAAGGAAAAGATGAGATTGTTCTAAATTGTTATATATTTAACGCACCCGACAAAGTTTATCTTTATCCTTTAGCTTTAACTCTATCCAGATAATTCTTGCGAGGGCTGTCGACTACACAGCCTGAGAATCTCAGTGTAACCACTCCCAACCTTACGCTCGTCGGCTAAAGAGAGCAATATAATAAAATCTTAGTTACCTTAGACTACCTAGTGGTGGTGTAGCATACGGTACGCCTAGGTAGGCCTCGACTTGCGGATGCGAGTGAACGACAATTCCGCGAAGTGGTCCGTACTTCGTCCTGACGACCCGCGTGCTGTACTTGTGCGTTGAGAGCGCCGTCGCGCAGCAGACGAGCCACGCAAAGAGCGCGGCGCGGTCCGCGCGCATCACGCGCACAGCGCGGGCGCGTGCGCGGTCGCGGGCGACCCGCAGCCGGCTACGCGCGCGCCCTTACACATCACGCGCACCGCCGTGCACTCGTGCACGTGCACATCCGCCGCCACGCGCGCGCCCTGCTCCTCATACTATCTCAACGCCCCTCACACAATAACATTACATATCGTTTTGCACTGATCTTCTAAGATTCGAAAGACGCCTTTTCACAACAACAAAGACAGAAACACTTACCCGGGTCATGTTTTTTGGAGCAATGCATTAGATGTTTGTAAACTATCCACTTACGTTACCTGTAACAATGTCAAATATGATTATTAATAAGATCACTATTATTTACGTAAAAATAACACTTAAATATGTTGACAAAAGATAATTATGATATAAATTTATTCTGTATAGGGCTAACCCTGGCGTTTATAACTTATGATATTATATACGATAATAAAGACAATAATGTCACAGTCCATAACGAAATTTGACGATTGTACGGCGACTGTGGACTGTCAGGTTACAGCGCGACTGGACTCACGCCGACGTTCACTTTACCTCCATTTACGTTAGCAAAGGCTGATAATATAATTACAATTCAATTTCATTTCAATTATTAAAATATAATTAATAAATATAGTATTTAAATAAATTTTAATACAATTCAATATCACCCGTATTCTCTGCGATCTTACTATGGAAGTGTGAAATATCTTAAAACATTTTATACAATAGTATTACCGCCCTTTAGGTTCCACTCCCAGAATAAGGGTTGAGGGCGTGCTCCTCGGTAAGAAGCAATATAATAATAACTTGGCATCGGTTTTCTGCCAGGCCTTGATATCACTCCGGTCGAGCTAGTCCATGTGTATGTATTTTCTTAATGCATAAACAATCAAACAAGAATTCAACCCACCCTATAGTGTGCAGAAGTAACCGGCGTCTGTAACACTTTTAATAACTAATATATCATTCTTGTGTTTCTAAAGTTAAGCTTAAGCGAACCTACTGAACTTCAAAAACTTTAATTTAAGAAAACGTTGAAGGCAACAACACCATTTCAAAAAGGGCTACAAATAGCGAACTGGACGGTGTTCTATTTAATATTACTAACTGTTTAATCCTCCTAATCTACTTAACTAGATTAAAAAGGCCCTCAACAAGCTAATCTTGGAGGGGTCAGAGAATTAGATAAAGTTTTACAAGGCATGATTTGCCCTCTATTATCGTACCAACTGCTACGTTTTTGTAAACAATATACTTGAAGAAAAAAACCGCGTTCCAAGTAGCTGTGGGTTTAAAAACATAAACATGACGAATATAAGTAATAGTTACAAAACGTTTATTGGTGACACAGCAGTGATGTTTACAAACGTATTTGATTACGCAAGTGACTCACAAAGAACAGGACAAGCTTGGGGGATACCATCCATCACTCCCGTGACATGCAGAAACTTTGTGGTCGGCCCGTATTTTGTTGCACGCCCATTGACACCCCGTCACCATTGACCTTTGACGTGAAATATTTTAATGAATTTGAATACTTTGTCTAAATCATTATAGCAAAATTGCAAAATAAAAGTCACCCGATAGAATACTTACAATCGTTTAAAATTCATGACAACAAAAACTAGAGACATTAACGGTACCATTACGAATCTTTGCAAAGTTACCGTCATTAACAAAACCATTAGGAGGAACGGACATTTTAATCAACAGCTATGTGTTAATATAGGTGTAGAAAATGACGGTGTCAATGGAAATGTTTTAAATTATACTTATTATTCAGTAAACCAGTCGGGTTTTTGTCAGGGCTTTCAGACAAAATTAATGACACATCCTCAGTAATTAAAATGAGGGTACGCATCATCTGAACGGCATTTCTGTCATCCTATATTCGCCACAGGAGCTGTTTGTTACATTATTTACGAAAACAAAATAATCTAGTCAAGGTGTTGGTGGAATTGCAGAGCGAATTACTTTTAAAGTGTTGATTAAAACCAAACAAGATCGGCAAACGCTTTGATTCATACAATTTTTTGATGACACGAATGTTTCAGGGTTGTCATGTCATTTATGTATGTGAATTTCTTAACTGTGAAATACCTGAATAGATTTATAGAGTATCGTTTTAGTGGTTACGTGTATGCAGTCAGCTAATAAAAATCATCCCATTTTAGGATTTTTACAATAATAAAATTGTGATTTTTTTAATGATTGACGTTAAAAAAATATTAAAACAGGTCACATACGTATTCTAAATTTTCTGTATTACCTATTCTATAAGAAAAGGTGAACAAGAAATAGGACCACCATATCGCCAGTAGAAAAACAACAAGTTAACGGCAGCCTATGCTCTATAGATTTCTCCAGTCAGGCTCCATATTAATGAATAATCCGCTGTATCCGCTGTATACCTTCTTTGTAGCCCAAACTCAAGATGTTCAGAACTTGAAAACATTTTTCAATTTGTTAATTAATTTGTACAAAAATTGCCGTCACACTGTGAAACGATGATATTGTTTTACTACTATATAGTTATTAATTTTCGAAAGTTCAATATATTGTCAATGACACAAAGCTTTATTGCGGGGGTCTTTAAATCGTATCATCTAATATCATATCGTTCAGTAATAGCCAATTTTAAACACTGAACGAGTTTTCGTAGTTATTGGTAAACTGATGTACCATTATTAATTGCTTATTGTGAAGCTTTCAAATCTCAATGCAATATTTTCGAGAGTGTCGACATCAATTTAAGGGAAATGTATGCTGGTATTTTCAAGCCTAGCTGGAATATGAGTGTCGCGATGCGCTCAAGATACTATGAAGATTATCTAAATTTGCTCCTAACACGGCTTTTGATTTATGGTCTGCTAAGGTGAGTGCAAATCGTTTTTAAAATAGGATTATACGTAATGCAATAAACGTCCTCATTTGTCATTAACAAAAACATAATTTGGTAATTTTACTTTTTGGGGTTCCATTCCTCAGAAAAGTTATTCTTACAGGAACAGTTTGTTGTCCTTCTCTCTGACTGTGTATCAATACTCCTTTTCCCGGGACGCAGATGTGTACTTGATATCTAGAAAGGGATCAAGTTGAAATTGTAACCAAATAGTTATATCTGTACTTCCTTGAAGTAAAAATTCGAGTTCTAAGTCAAAATAATCAATAGATATAGCCGTTTAAGCTACTCGTATACATTTCATAGCTAAGTTAAAACATACCCCTCCAGGTACTTCGAGAAGCAAGGTTTTTAGCAACAACAAAATCCTAAAGTCGTTGATTTGTTGTTACATCCCAAAAGGAATGTTTTTTTTTTTTCATTACCAATATTTATGATTAGAAAATTGACTGACATAAATATCGCTCTTTGCGTACCGGCCGTCTAGCACAGCAGTTTGAAACTTTTTTACGCGCCACGCTGCATCGTCGATTGGTGTCTGACTGTAGGATTATCTATAACCTAAATTCATTTTGCCAAATTTGTATGCCTGAATAATAGCAAGCTTTTTTTATGTTAGAGGGGGCAGAGAAGCATACGGGTCACCTGATGGAAAGTGACCATCGCCGCCCATGAACGTCTGCCACTCAGGTGTCACAAACGCGTTGCCGGCCTTTTAGGAAGGAGTACGCTCTTTTCTTGAAGTTCGTATCGGTCCGGAAATACCGCAGACTAGTGAGGATGAAAATTTTGCCGTGTGAAACGATGTCGGAAATTTGCGGCTGGAATTAGTCTGAACAATTCCTCGGAGCACTCTCCATGATATATGCGATACAGAATGAAGGTTCCAAAATTCACCTATTTCATATCTCTATAGAAAGAGCGGCAATTTCTAGGAGAATACACTTGTATTTATGGCACTTTAGTTCTTGTCCTACTATGTACTCTGTTGTCTAAATGTTGTCAGTCGGAAAAACTAAACGTCAATTAATAATCGAGAGTTGATTACCGAGATGGATTAACTTTACATATGTACGAAACAATAAGTACGCGATTCAGACTTTTGTTAATTCATTCAAATTTTCATATAAATCAGGTAGCCTACATAACAATAGCGTTACGATTGATGCATCTCCTTCGCTAATATACTATGAGATGCATCAAACAAAGCTTAAATCTATTAATAATAAACTTTACACTTAAAACATCATAAATTAGTTCAGTAGTAGGTAGGCCACTAGTAGTAGGATAAAAGCAGTAGGAATCCAAATTTATTTCCAAAAGTTTGTACGTCACCCGAGCGTACTAAGTTGGAATCATCTAATTTATCGCAGGTGTTCACAAAGTGGTAATTAATTTACAAGTTAATAAATTTGTGTAACATTTCATTGATAATACCAAAAGAACACGTTACTAATTATTATGTAATTTGGGTATCGTTAGGTGAGATTTCCTACGAGATAAACCTTGTAATCAATTTAATTGATGAGTAAAGTTGAAGGCGAAACAAGTATTTTATAATTGAAGTGGGTACGACAGGTACTCGGAATATAACGACTTTATATTTAACTAGCTGGTACCCGCGACTTCGTTTGCGTGGAATTTCAAAAGCTCTGCCTTAGTGGCAAAATTTTATAAGGTTTATCTGAGAGGAAAAACAGCCTAAGTTACTCTTATATAGACACCTGCAGTATAGTACCTGCATTAAAATATTATCAAAATCGGTCCTGCCGTTTAGAAGATTACCCGCAACAAACAGACAGACAGGCAAATAAAAACTGGTTTATAGGCATAAATAGGATTCGTGCAAATAACCGTGCGAGCTTGAAAAAAGACTAATATTTTTACATTACAAACAGACACTTCAATTTTATTTATTTGATGTCTTTATTACTTCCATAACTAAATATACACTTAATCATAACGGTGAATAGTATTTTCATAAATTTTGTGTTAGTATAAATTGAATAGGAGAGAATCATTGTAGTCGTAGTAGTTTTTGAAAAACCATAGTCTTTGAAGAAAAACTGTGGTAAAAAGGTTACGTCTCAATGGA